AGTCTTCCCCCAATATAATTGTAGACATATTTACATCTGAAGACCCGAAACTTGATTCTAATGATTCTTATTTTTTTGCTCACAAACTCTCAAACACAACTTGCAACTCCACATACCCCTGAGACTTGGTATCTTCGCATACTTGATGTCACAAGAACATTATTTATCCACTAATACAAGACATACATCAAAATCAATCATCGTTTCCTTTATTAATAGTGGGACATAATGGTTAGGTACACTATTGATTAACTCTCAATCATAAAAAGATGAAGGAGGCTCGCCTATTTTTAGACTATCGTTCTAGTTTAATTTGTATCTTGTTGTGGTGCCTTTTTCTTATTTCCCCTAATGAAAAAGATACCATCTTATTCGAACGTAAACGATCCACAGGAATGGCGAGTGATTAATATCGACTCTCCGTTGTGTGTTTCTTTAGAGCATAAGTAAATCCTCTAGAGATGTATAAAGTTTCCTTACGACGCAAGTCATTTGGTTGATATCATACCATTAGTTCAATATTATGTAGGAAAAATTAGGTTTCGAGAAGATAAGTGTCCCCCTTTTCTTCATCTTTGACTACCATGTGTGGTCGTTCTTCTCATGAATATATCATGTTCCCTTAGATTGTAATTCTCCAAACAAAATGTTGCTTGAATTTTTCATTAAAGTGAAAAGTGGAAACGTTGAAGAGCAATTTCCACAGACAGCGCACAAGTCAGTGAAATTCATAAGTGTTATGTTTTTGGGTTAGAATAGTGATTGTCTATTTTTGAGGCCTTCATTATAATGTATAGTAGAGTTCTAGGTTTTGAGTATTTATAACCTTCTCTTGGGAACATATGTTCATAGATTATGTGTAAACACCTCGATTTAATTAAAATTTATTTTTAATTAAATAATAAGACGATGCGGTGAAATTATATGCATTGGTGAAATTTATGAGATGATATGATATCTTGTTGGGGGATAAATACCTTAGAATTATAGAAATTGAGATTATGGGGGTGTTTGGTTATTTGTGTAGAAACGTAGGGGTGTGTAGAATCATATGGATTATTATTATTATTATTATTATTATTATTATTATTATTATTATTATTATTATTATTATTATTATTATTAGGATAATTATTATTATTTTATAATAATAATTAAATAATTATTTATTTGGGATAGTTATTACTATTATTAGATTATAAGAAGTGAGATTTGGGAAAAAGAGTCTATATATAGAAATAGAGAAAAGAAGATTAGAAGAGAGAAGAGGAGAAAGAGCACTAGGAAACTAGCGCAAAAAGTTCATTCGTAGGAATCAAAAACTGCAAGAACCTAAGTTAAGGGGGATTCTAACTCTATAAGAGTTTGTCTAATGATGGGGTACAGTAGAATTTAGGTCGTGTAATCGCATGCTTTGATTCCTCCATGTTTGGTTGTTTTGGGGGTTTGTTTCTGTTGATGGAATTTGGGTGATTTTGGGTGTGTTTTGATGCTATTGAATGATATGAATTGATTAGAATCGGTCGATGAATAATGATGAATAATTAACCTATTAAAAAGATGAATTTTGATGTAAAAATTATGATTTTTGAGTGTGGAAATATGGAATGTCGTAACCTAGAAACTGCATAGTTTTTCATGTTATCGCATGATAACCGGTTACCCGAAATATGGTAACCGGTTACCCATATCAATGGTTGAAACGAGGTTTAGCTATTGTCCAGTGGTAGCCGATTTCCATAACAGGGTAACCGGTTACCGTGAGAGATTTTTGAAAAACAATGAGGATACTGTCATGCGTTAACCGGTTCCCATAACAGGGTAACCGGTTACCACTACTACGGAGCAATTTTTGAAAAACTTCAAAAATTCATAACTTTTGTCTCGGGTGTCCGTTTGACGCGCCGTTTGGACCATTGGAAAGATAAAATAATTTCTTATTTTATAAAAATTATTTATAATACAGTAGTTAATTATTTCATCAACATTCCACTGATCCGTAAGTGTGTTTTGATTTGTATGTCATGAATTATGTTGTGGTCCTTTGCGGTGATTATTTTGACTATGTGGCACGAGTTATATGTTGATGATGTTGGTGAATGGTCTGTATTGGAAAAATTATGATGAATAGTAGGGATGAATGTGAAGTATATTGTTGCATGATAGTGTCTCATGCATTCATAAAGCGAAGGCCTCTATTGGCGAGCAAAGTTGATTGCCCTAAATTGGCATTATTGCGAAAAGGGTTCTACCCTGATTGATACCACATGCATTGCATTACTGTCAGTCCTTGCATCATATTGTGATTGATAAACCTGTGGGCGAAGATTGATGAAAGTATGTATTATATTACGATGTATGTTATGTGTTGATTATGTACTTGAACCTTACATGCTTATCATTATGTTTTCTCTTATATTGTTATGATATCTTACCATTTCTGTTTGAATGTTACCTCAACATGGGTAACGTGCAGATGATCCTAAGTAGCTAGACATCGAAGGTTAACTGAGGAGTTCCTTCAGTTGCGTAGATTGAGTCGGTGTCTGCTCTGATACGTAACACTTGGAGGTTTCGCGTGATTTGTTTTATTATGATTAGGAGTGAACATGTGTTGCTCTTTTATTTGAATTGTTTTATGATTATGCTGATGTGCGAAGGATTATAATTATGACTCCAGTTGGAGGATCGAGATGATTAATTACTTGATGTTTTTCCACTGTGAATAAATGCATTAAAGTTTAATACTTTTGAATACACGATTTGTGTTGCGTATTCTTATTTTGAGCATGTATGATTGGCGAAGTATGTGACATCCTATTTGATTGATGTTTATTTAGAAATTAAATTACTCTGATTATTATATAAATTACCGATGAAAAAATAGGGTGTTACATTATGCGTCCTCTAGATTCGACAAACTAACTCGTCCAATAATTGCATTTAAAATCTTCCTTCCTTTGGACGGTCCCTCTAACAGTCTTTAGTGGGTTAGGAGTTATCCTAATTCGGAACACAACTAAACCCTAAAAGAGGGAAATGGAAGAAACCAAATTGAGAATTATACAATGTAATATGGATACAAACGTATCTATCGAGGAGGAAATGGTGGATTAGAGCTATCATCATAGACAATTTGGATTGAGTGGCTATGGCAACAACTCGGGTTACGAAAGAATTGAACAATCCTACTCAAACGGAGACCTAAGCGTTGATCACAATAATCGATTCTACAGGTGATCGTAGTTTCAACCATATTCAATTTAAAATCGATTGCCAAGTGATTGTGACTGTTATTAATGAAAATCGAAACCCTAAAACGATTTGGAGATGATGACCGAGAGTGTAAAGATGAAAATTAATAAATTTAAAAAGACTCATATTGATTTTGTCAATATGGTAAATAACATAGTGGCCCATATATTGGCCTGTTATGCTCGTTATTATATCAAGTATGGAGGGAAATTCTCAATTCATCTCCCAATAAGTTCATGGATCTCCAAATTTCCAATTTTGACGTTTTTTTTAAAGGATCTTTCCTTGAGCATCCACCCAAAAAAGGTCATATTTCAAGTTTAGGAATCTCTAAATTATTAAAAGATTGATTGAAAATTTTACTAAATATATAGATTAATTGGGTCCATATTCTTGTCCAAATGTCTTATAAAATATTGGTTCACTTGTGAAAATTGTATAATTCCATACAAATAATGCTCACTACATACAACATGTTTATAGATAAGTAAGTAATCTGAAAGAAAATGAATGGTCTGAGGAAATAGTTCACTGGAATACCAGTGTGCCCACAATTGTCTCTTTCTAATATGACACTGTCTTAGGCACTGGTCCAATGGAATAAATGTCGAAACCAAAAAAAATTCAAACTATGTTAACTGTATGTTATATCCACTTCTGGATATTTCTACTAGCTAACAAGTTTGGGAACACGTGAATTCGTTTGACAGTATAATCAACAAGAATTTGTAGCATTAAATAAGGCATCTTTAATACTTACACATTTAGGCTCATTGCTTTGTAACCATCCAAAATCCTGACACATTTTCGAACTAAAAGATTTCAAAATTTTATTTCAAATAAACAGTTATGGCCAAGGCACCGCTTACAAGACTCAAGATGAAAGGCTCAGAGACAAAGCAAATTGAGGAACATGTGTTCTTTCATTCTCATATAAAGCAGACAACTTCTCTCCTTGATGCATCATCCACCGTTCAGATCATGACGGTTGTCAGCAATGCACATTGCACTCCTCGCATTCGATTTTAACCGCTTTCACTATATAAGAAAGAACGCACGTCATTCACAGATATTCAAATCCCCTTTCACTTATACATTGTTTGTTATTCTGTTGCCGACTTAGGCGTTTGAGTATTAATTTTGCATATCAACCCTTTTCCACCGCACCAAAAACTCCTCATGTCCACTACAGCGAAACATTGTCTCTCATTGTTTCACCGATAGTTTCTAGTTCTAAACTAAACATAAACGAAATGGCATCGCGATTTTAATAAAAACTACCCTTGGAAAGACAAAGATAGTCGATAATCAACTTGATACATGTTTGAACATAAATTTGATGAAATTATGGTGCCTCTGTTGTGACTTTGTCGAATGCTAAACTCATTGTCAATTCAAACTCGCACTTTATATTTCATTATTACTTCCAAGAACCTTGGAAACAATAATCAGATCAAATCGGGTTGATATACATTTGAAAGTTTTGAGTTCATAGTATGTTGTTTGGCGATGAGATTATCGACTTGGTTAAGAAATCTTCACGTTAATAACTCATGACATACACACAAAAACATACAAAGAAATGCCTGATATTGTAACCAGCTAACTGTAGCACCAAGCAGGTGCAAATTCACAGAAACTTGAAATAATTTGAAAAAATAACAATGGTTAATCATCTTGTTGTTGTTCAGAACGTGGAACAGATACATTCAAATGAAATAAATGTCAACAACTTTACTTTGTTTTCATTCACTTCCTTTCGGTAAAGGAGAAGAAGTGGAGTTAATGTTGTCGTTATCGGTCTCGCTTTGAGATGATAATCTAACTTCTGCTTGGTTCTCAGATGATATCTGTGCATTATCAATCTGCCTCACATTTTCTATCATCTTCACAACTTCGGACATCTTAGGTCTCTGATCCGGCATTCTTACCACACACGACATGGCTATCTGCAACATCTCAACCATCTCTTCTTCTATATTTGGATATCTCATCAACTCTAAGTCAAATACTTCAGCCGTCCACTCCTCTCGCACAACCGAATGAACCCATCTCACCAAGTGCACAAACTCATCACCACCAGCTGTGTGGATAGGTGATTTCCCAGTTAGAAGCTCTAGTAACACGACGCCGAAGCTGTAAACATCTGAAGGTTGTGCTGCTTTCCTCGTGTCTGTAACTTCTGGTGCGCGGTAACCAGCTGCTCGTGAGATGGGTAGGGCGAGCGAGGTTGAAATGGATGCCAGACCAAGATCAGATACACAACCGTATTGCTTAGTATTGAGAAAGATATTTGAAGACTTGATGTTCCCGTGTACCACTTTTCCGCTATTCTCAACATGGATGTGAGCAATGCCTCTTGCTGCACCTAAAGCGATTCTTAACCGAGTATTCCAATCTAAAGGCACCTTGTCTTCTCCTCTTTTCCCTGAAATTCTCAGAAACCAAAATGAGTACAAAATTTTTTATACACATTTAACTCAAGCATAGTAAACATATGAAATTGCAATTGGTTAAAACAATGGTTACATACCATGCAACAAAGAAGAGACACTCCCCTGACTGTAGTAATCATATACCATCAGTTTCTCGTCTTTCGAATAATAATAAGCTTTCAGCTCAACCACATTCTCATGTTTAAGACTTCCAACAATCTCCATGTATTGCTCAAAATCCTTCTTTCCATAGGCTACCTCCTTCAATCTCTTCACAACAACCGCAGTCGCATCCTCAAGAATCGCCTTGTAAGCAGTACCAAACGTTCCCTTTCCTAGAACCTCGGCGGAAGCTCTTAACAAGTCTTCTAAATCAAACGCATAATTACATCCCTCGAAGAAAGTCAGTTTATTATTAGCATCCATGTTCCTCGAAACTGCTTTCTCCGGAGACATTTTTCTTTTATTCGCCTTTCCAACAAATGCATCATCATCAAAATCATCTTCATCCTTTTTTCTAGCACAACAGCACACAAACATCAAAAAACCAAAAGCTACAAGCCCAAGAAAACTCCCAACAACAACAATTCCAAGCACCGCCGCTTCACTTAGCCTCCCACGTTTCCCCGAGGTCGAAGACGCATCATAAACCGTTGAAGGCACGGGCGGAACAACAGTATAATTTCCAAGAGTTACATTATTCCCAACAAACGCTGAATCAGGAAACCTCCTTAACGATCTCGGCACAGTGCCATGTAAATCATTGTTAGACAAATTCAGCGTCTGCAACCTCGACAAATTCAGATCAGGAATATCACCAGAAAGATCATTACTCGCAAGGTTCAAACCCGAAAGCTGAGTCAAATTCGAAAGCGAAACAGGAATACTCCCATTGAACCTATTACTAGACAAATTAACAACAGTAAGATTCTTCCAAGCTGAAAAATCAGGCAAAGACCCAGACAAATTGTTAAACTGCATATAAAGAAAGGACAAATTTTTCAAATTAGAAAAATCAGAAGGAAAAAACCCAGTAATGAAATTGGATCTAAGACTCAAAATCTGAAGCTCTGAAAGATTGCTAATAGTATGAGGTGGAACATTTCCATGAAACCCAACACCGGGTAACCGAATCGCTATAACTCTAGACCTATCCTCATTGCAAGTTACACCAGTCCAATTATCACAAACAGAGAAACTCTCATTCCAATTCAGTGTCCTTGAAGGTGGAAACTTGTTCACAAAATCAAGCAAAACCTCTTTATCTTCAACAGGTTCACAATTTCCTTTCCACATAGACAACAAGCATATAACAACAAAACATGAAACATGAAGAAACTTCATGTTTTTTCACTTCTGAAATAAGCACTTCTGCAATAAGCTCAATACTGCATAGATTGAAATGAAATTACAAGAATGTTAGTACATAATAAAGAGAGAAAAAAAAAGTGAAATTTCCCGCTTGTGAAAATCGAAATGAAAGAGACAAAAGGGGAAATTCAAATTGTTATTATTCCAAGAACGTTGTCTATGAAAGTAGAAACTGACACTGAGAAAATGCTGCATAAAAAAATGAGCTTTTTGCAGTGCTAGTGTTTCTTTTCTACTACAAGTAAGTTTATAATTTAAAAAAGAATTAAAAAAAAGTGCGTTTGAATTTCAGCCTTTTGGTGTTTATTTATTGAGTAAACGCATGACAAAAATCAATAAAATTTGAAATTAGATACGAAAAAAAAGTGAAGTTTAAAGAAGAGTAAAGTGGTAGTAGTACTTATTTGGGTTGAAGGTAAAGGGAATTTTGGTGTTTTGCAGATCTGAAATAAAGAATGTATGGAGTGTAAAGTGAGGGAATGAAAAATGAATGAGTAGTAAAAAGTGGGTTGTTGTTAAAAAGGGGGTGAAGTTGTTGTTGGTGGTGAGGTTTAAGAACGGTTGTTATTTTAACGGTATTATTTGGTGTGGTGGCTGTGTAACGTTGTGTGTGAGAGAATTGCAAGAGATGGAAATGGGAGTGGTATTAACTAGTCCACTATTGCTAATAATGAGGAAATAACGGTGAAAGTTGGAATGGAAAACTGCTATTGTTGTGTCATGGGAATGGTGGAGATGGTGATGTGGTACATGTGGGGCCATCTCTTTACTGATTTGGCTATCATCCTTAAATGTCTTGTTTGGATTCACATGGACTATTATTTCTCCATTTGCCCTTTACTTTAAGGGATTATTTTTCACATTATTAGGGACGAATGGACAAATTTGAATCGTCCGATCTAAATTAATCGATTCATTCTCTTTTTTGAGTAAATGGGTTGGGTTGGATTGGACGTCGAGTTCATCAAATTACTTAATTTAAGTATTATAAGTTTGATTCGGTCAGACTCAGATGATTATTTTGGATCTCTTGAAAATCGAACCCGACTAAATTTAATTAATATATTTTTTATTATTTTAGAGTCGAAACATTATAAAAGTAAGTTTCATAATATTATTAAGCTATTATCATTTTTATAATTTAATAGTGATATTATATACTTATAAAATACAAGATATATAATATAAAATTTTGAGTGTTATTTAATTTATTGTTTAAAGTATGATAACGAGCAAATTAATATTAAATAATATTTGAAATTTTATAACATGATAATAATGTTTTTTAATATAAAAAATAGTTCTTTAAGTTATTTTAAAATTTTGATAGTTTTTATTAAAAAAATTAAAAGATTAATATTTGTGAATTTTATAAAAGATGAGAAATTTTTATAGATTTATTTCAATAATATTAACCGATCAAATCCACCTAATTTATCCGTTAAATCGACTAAACTGAATCCGTCAAAAACTAAAATTTTATCGGTCAGAGTTGGACCTTAATAATGAAACTGTGACTTGCGTTGGATTTAAGTTTTTGGCTCGATTTCGACTCAAACCGACCGATTGTTCACCCCTACCCTTAGGGGTGCTTCTTCGCCACCGAGAAAAAAAATACAATTGTCTCTTTCAAATGTATTTTGTTCATATTTATTAGCGCAAATTAATTAGTCATTCTTATTTTATCAAAAGTTAATTCGGAGATGTATCTCCGTATTAATATAAGGGTGAGGTCGGAGATGCATATCAGTAAAAAAAATTATTCAAAATTCATAGAGTTTTACGAAGATGTATTATCGGACGCATTTAGTTCATATACTCGCTTCAGACCCTTCTATCTCCCTTCTTCATTTTCTGCAAAGTCAAAAAAAATAAATTCATTTGAGGTATTTTGTTGCAAAGTCATTTTCAAACTCCATTTGAGCAAGTTTCTTCAAATTCACTCACTTCATTCTACTTCATCTCTTGCAAAGTCACTCACTTCATTCTAGCTTCTCATCCACAACCCTAATTTGGTAAGTTTCTCATTTCATTTCTTTTTTTGAAATTTGAATAATGAATGTTTTAGGTAACATAGGTCGTTTAAGAAGCATTAGATAATAGTACATTCGAAATAGGTAGCTGATATAGACATGCATTACCATTTTGTTGGAGTTTAGGGAAGAAATGAGGTTTTTGCCAATTCTGCAAGTCGCAAGTTCATTCAGAGATGCATCTCTAGATTATGTCTGAATGGTTTTCGGAGATGTATCTCCGAATATGGCAAGAATGCATTTTTGACTGCATTTTGATGTGATTTTTTAGTTGTATTACATTTGCAATGGCTGAAAACAACCAGGACAGAATTAGGATTGGTCGTGTGTCCTAACACACGTGAGTACGAGGTGAGAGAGCCAGGAGAAGGGCCACGGGGCCATGAGTCGATGATACTTATTTGATGGTTCACAAGGTCGAGCTTCACAACCATTTGGTTCTACTTCCTGAAGTCGCCTGTGTCAACATCTACTTCACAGGGCCACGTGTCTCTTGCTTATGAAGCCCTTAAAGCTCCCAAAGAAGCCCCTGAATCTTATGAGGCCAATTGGGCGGAACTAGTTGTTGATGTGGATCTCCCTGTAGATATTTATCCAGGAGGCCCATTTGATACCTCCTTATTTCATCTCTATGGAGACAGGCATGTATGGGAAAGTGAGGTATATTTATTTACTTTTGCATTACATCTGGTTTAATGTGATTTAGTCGCGACTGATGGTTATATATATATATATATATATATATATATATATATATATATATATATATATATATATATATATATATATATATATATATATATATATATATATATATATATATATATATATATATATATATATATATATATTACATGAGCTTCCATGTTTAAAATCCGTAAACCATGGAAGGAAGATTTTGGAATTGGAACAACCCAAAGATGAATGGTCCATGGATGTTTCTCGTTACACTAGGCTTGCTAGTTTATGTGTTATTGTGTACAAAACCATAAATCATGGCATGCGGGAATCATTTGCATATAGGTGACATTCAGAGACATCATTTTTAGACCTTCCTCTTGGTGAGATCACCATCACCCTGGATAACATCTCATGCCTCCTATATCTTCTCATTAGAGGAAAATTACTATACCATAAAGGGCTCAATCGAGAGGAAGCCAACGAGATGATGGTTACCTATTTGAAGGCTGTCCCATTTTGATTCCGCAAATGAGGTAACTGACATCAGAGGTGCTCATTTCAGATTTAAATTATTGGAAAAAATTTATAAGAACCAGCTGCATATGGATGTGGATTCCGAAGGTGATAATATGCAGGTTGAGTACCATCGACAATGGGAATTGAGGTGTTACCTCTTATTCTTGGTTGGTACATCAATGTTTGTGGACCAAAGTACCACCTACGTCGATGTGGTCTACCTTAAATAGTTTGTTAACTTAATGGAGATTCACAAGTACAACTGGGGGCGCCTGTTTGGTCTATATGTACTCAAAGTTGGGCGAAAGTTGTGTTTGAAAGACAAAGCAGTTGATAGGAAGTTGCATGCTGCTTACGGCAATTTACTATTACTAATATTTTCATAACTCTTTTGTTACCCTTGTTACTTATATTTCATGACCATTTTCATGGATGAATCATCTCTCAATTTCCTTGCATCTCCAGGTGGGAACTTTTTCCCGACTACACTAAGGATATCCCACGTGCTACCGCCTTTGATCTGTATAGAAGGAATCAGGCAATTGAGTCCTTCCAACAATATATTGATCACACTATAGCATATGACATTGCCTTCTGCCTATATGACGGTCACCATTATACGCGTCATCGGGACATCATTTTGTTATACTCTGGATGGCTAGCCAGTGGATCAGGTTTGATGTATGCGTATCTGTCCGAGCGAGTGATGAGACAGTTTGGATATTTTCAAGTTATTCGGAGACACACCTCAAAGTCTTCTCCTCCCACCATCAGCCTCAGAGATCTTGATGCCATACTTGAGGATCTCGGGAATCATTTGGTACTAGAGAACTATTGCAGGGTGCCAACTCCTATACAATGGAATTATGCATACAATTACATTGCATGGTTTTATAAGGTCTCACATCATATCATGACAAACGCTCTTGGGAGACCACCTAGGTCATCTAGTAAGGAGGTATTGGAGGCTAAGGATGACCACACCTAAGACGTACGCAGCGTTTGTCAACGTATTGTGGATATGACAAGATCGGGCATAAAGGCCTGACTTTTTGAGGAAGACGTTCTTCGGTTGGCCCTCGTAGAAGGCATTATTTTCGAGGCACATAATGCCTTGCAGTACATGCAGAGAAGTCAGGGGGTTAGACACACACATTAGTTTATGCTTAGTTGTATTATTCTTTGTATTTTCGAAACAAGTTATGTATGGTCGGTACATTTTGAAATCTTTAATGGGTTAAATATACAATTTGTAATATTAACGAGATTTGGTTTTAGTCCCTGGTAAAGTTTTTTTTGTAATCCCCCCTTGCAACTTTCAGATTCCCTCAAATAGCCCCCTAACTGTCATATTGCAACAGAGATTCTCTCTAACTGCATACGTGGCAGTCCATGTGGTAATTTTTTTATTTTTTTATTATTTTTTAATTCACGTAAATTTATTTATTTGCTTTAATTTAAATTATTATTTGTTTATTAATTTTTTTTACTTATTTTAATTCTATTTTTACTTTTTTAAATTATATATTATATTTTATTAACTGTTTTTTTTACTTATTTTAATTATATATATTATATTTCAATTATTTTAATATAGGAAAGAATGTAGAAAAGACCAACTAAATTTTTTGCTAAAACCAACGATTGAACCTAGTATCTTAAGGCAACAGGTCCAACTTCTTACCATTGAGCTATTGTTCGTTTCGATTTATTGTTTTCACACGCAGTTACAAATACACATAT